CAGCAATTCTGGCATCTCCCTGATGAAGACACCACTTTATGACCCAAGAATGCAGCCTTTCAGAGTCCAGATTTTGTAAAATTCCTAGCAATGAGAAGAAATGACAAAAACTGGCTTATATTGCCTGCATTATACATCATGGTTGTCCAGAATTCTGATACTTTAAATATTACAAATAATAGAAATTGGTGTTTAAATAGCTTTAAAAGTTTAATGCTATCAAAGAGAAAAACCTTTAAAGGAATCGAGAGAGAACAGAGATTTTGGTGTCTTGATAAATCTCAGCCAATAAATTTTGAATAATAAAATCAAGTCAGAATTTTAGAGCTTAAAATAACTTTAACATCTGCAGTGTAGTAGAGTGGCATATTTCAATTTGCTATATTGAGTTTAATTTGGTAGAAGACTTTACTTCTCAATTAAAAACGCTCTCCATTGATTCAACTCTCAAGCTTCTCAGTCCTAGGTATAACTTCACCCGGTGTGCATCTTGAAGACATTTACATTTCTAATTAGGAAGTGAATGCCATTTGGAAGCAATCTAATCAAATGTCAAAGAAGACTTTTAATAGTTGTACCTTTTAAAATATATAATTGGGCCATTCGTTAAAAATGTAAGTCTTCTAATAAGCTATGTCTAGGATTTGAAAACCCAAAGATGTGGTTTTCAGTGCATATAACCATTACCCACAGAAATAAATATATTTGAAGAATACATTCTAGGTACCCCTTACAGGTGAATTAAACCTGGATTTCTAAAGAAACCAAAGAAGGCTGAAAGAACCTTAAATTCAATTTTGAACATAAACTACAGGGTTGCTTTGTAATTTGGAGACCACATGCCGATGACTCTGACAATACTGAATTACACAAGAGAATTAATGCATTGCAATTTTCATAGAAAGGATAAAATGGAAACTAATGCATAATTACAAAGAAAAGGAAATATCATTTCCAAACACCTATAAGTATAATCAGTTGTTACAGAAAATATAAAATAATATAGCAGGTGTAAGCAAAATAGTTTATCATGGTATTTGCCATGGGAAATTTGATTGTAAGAGACCTATTCTGTAAGGGAGAAGCAATACTGTGACATTTTAAGGACTTAAAATCTGCATCAAGGCTAAATAGATTCACATCCCAGCTCTGTCACATATTAGCTAGGTAACCTAACCTTTTTGTACCTGTTTCCTCATTTATAAGATGGAAATAATAATAGGATCCACTTGGGGGGTGCTGTGTGAATTAAACGAGTATGTATGTATATATATATAATACACACATATATACACATGCATGTATGTATGTAGTATATATATAATATATATGTATGTAGTGTATATGTACATATGTATATATACATTTACATGTATTTTATATATATACTACAACATATATGTGTGCATATATGTGTGTGTGTGTGTGTATTCAGAATGGTACCTGGGACATAGTAAACACTCAATAAATATTCTTCCTTTATCCTCCTTTTCTACCACTTTTTCTTCCTCCTTCTCCTTTTCTTTCTCCTCTTGCTCTTTTTCTGTTTTTCATAAAGACAAGAGTCAGATATGCTATTTGATAGGAATTATGTATTACTCTAAAGTTAGTATTATAGACATGCAACTAGCAATATTTCAATTGAAGACAAAATGTTGTCTATCCATATGATTTTCTGAGTTTTTTGATTCAGTCATTTACAATGGGTAGTCAAGGCTTTTCTTACTAAGGGAGCCTACCCTTAAACGTTATCATCCCTCTTTGTTTTGATTTTTTTCGTGGTATTTTCTCCCAATTATTTAGAGAGCTTAGAATTTCCATTCAATCCTGAAGGCTAATAAAACTTTTCCAATCAAACAACTAGCCTGAAACTTTAAGAGGCTCTGCCTAGACCTAATCTAAATGTATCAGGAAACACACTGCACAATTGAAGATTCATCAAGAGTGACTTAGCAGATTGTAACTCAGTCTGGGTCCTCTGAATGAGAAACCCTGTTGCGTGACTTAGGTGTCCAGCTGCTCAGAAGTAGTTTATGCTTTCATGTTAAAGATGAAGGAAAAATCTCCTGGAAAGTGAATGTATAATCATGTCAGCTGTGGACTCCACTAAGAAAATCAACTACTTTCACCCAAGGAAATGTCCCAGAAAAACTCAGAGCTGAGGCAACCTAATATCTAAAAAAGACAATGTAAAGAAAGGCAAAGTAATTTGCTTTTAGAGTCATACTGTTCATTTTGACAAAAGTCATCCTATTTCCAAAAAATTACAGACCTCTAAATTAAAATGCTTTTAAAAAGAGCCAATTAATCACCAAAAAAGTAACTATGCAAGATGATAGACAAGTTAATCTGCTTCATTATTATAACCATGTTAGTCTCTATTTATATAACAGCATGTTGTAAACCTCAAATATGCACAATAAAACTTATTTTTAAAAAGAACCAGCCAATTAAATCAATAATTAAATCAAAATAACAAATGTACTAAATTCCTTTGCAACAATACAGAGAAATTTACCAATTTTTATCAGATTGCATGTTTTTTAAAAATCCTCAAAAATATTGGAAAACACTTAAATTAGGCATAGTTTTTATAGTACCTCAATCTTGCAAAATTTTTAAACTGGAGGAGAAAGACAGTTCTGAATTCTGTTCTTAACATGCTTGATTTACTAATGAAGTTAGATTTAAATTGGCATTCCTTCCTGCATCTCCACATTCCATAAAATAAAAAACAATGATAGTACACCAACTTAAGGATGCAATAAAAAGTAATGTGTGATTTCCCTTAAGTACACTTTTAAAGAGACATTTATCTCAATACTGGTCAGGTTGGTCTTTTCTAACTTCACTTGAATGTTATTAGGAAAAGTGCTTTATAAAAACAATCCTGGGCATGAAAAGAGTTTAAAGTCTTACTGTGAGGTTTTGAAATTATGATGAACACTTGCTGCATATAAATTATCGAAATATCACCTGAAATTACAACAGTTGAGTATCTAGTATACTAAAAATCTGACAGTTAGATCGTGGGGTTTACTTGAGTTCTTAGCATCATATGGTAATTCTAAGGCACTGTTTTAAGAACATTTTCAAAGTTTTATGATTCTTTGATGCTTTAAACAAAACTAAGGACTTTCTTTGAGAAAATTGGTAACATTCTATAAAACTCTGTATCAAAGTATATTCCACAAAACATTAAGTCCACAAGATGCTACTCGTAAAAAGGTTTTATGACCAGTGGAAAAATGCCAATATGATATGTGTCCTATCTGGAAGATTCTTTATAATGCAGGTTGTCTGAAAGCAACGGATTTGTCTATCCCTTGCTCATTACTATAGCCCCACGTCTGCAACAATGCTTTGTAATTAGCAATCATTCAGCAGGAATAAATGAATGACAAATAAATGAACATTAAAAGATTTGGGCAGTTCTCCATCAAGGAAATTTCTTTAATTTTCTTTTACCCAGAATGTCTCCCATCTATTTGATCACAGGAACCTTTATTATTTTTTTATTTTTAGCACTACAGAATAATTTAGGTAAATAGGAAAGAAAAAAGGAAAAAAAAGAAAACACAGAGAAAAATATAACAAAACACGCATAACCACCACCTGTATTAAAAATTAAATGTAACAAATAAAACATAAGCATTTTGGGAAGCTTTTCTCCATTCCATCCACCTCAGACCCCACCTCCTCCCTCAAAATGAGGTAACCCCAACATAAGGACTTATGTTCACATGATACCTACTAATATCCTGCTCTGGGAGATTCCAACATTCTTTTAAATGTTAAGATTTTACTTTTAGTTAGTACATATTTTACAAGTGGTCATTTGTAAAGCTATTCATTTACTGCATTAATATAATAATGAATAAAGTATTAATGAAATAAAACACTACAGTACAGATACAAGACAATGGATAACTGATGTAATAATGATATTTAAGAAGAGGCTGAGCCACTTCTCTTTCAGATAGACTGATATAAAATCTAAAGACATACATAGATATAAGCAATAACATAAGGAATCATAGAAGTTTAGGTTACTTAACCTGGACTGAGTGATTTAGAAACTAATCTCTACAATTATAGAGAAAAACATCCCTAACAATGTATTTACTGAACTTTTAGTTAAGAAATCATCTGGGGCTTCAAAAGCAAAACCATGCCTAGATCAATGTCACAATGTGTTCCTATTTACATAATAAATGATGTCAAAAGAGGACACCCTCTTCTTGAGCTAAATAAACAAATACTAATGAAAATCTCTTTTATCAAGATCTAGCATACTCTGAAGACATGCACCTATGAGCTAACCTAGTTTAACCAGAAAGTGACTCTTTTAAAAAAATAGAGTTAATATATTTCAGTATTGTTTCAGTAAAACTTTTTTCTTCAAATTTCAAGTACCATTATCAATATTCTTCAATTGTCTTAGAAAACCTTTAAGTATGTTACTAGTAAGAAATTCTTTTGAATATTTAATTTTTGCTCTTTGCTTCGTATAACAGATAAAAAGACCTAGCAAATGTATCTTCACACTTGCTGCTTTATTTCTTAAGTTTATATATAGGGGGTGTTGATTATGAACACAATACATGTAGCTGCATAGATAACCATGCATACAATCACAACAAGGACTAGAACAACCAAGTATAACAAGGTGTGTGGATGAATTTTCTACTTTATCATTGGTAACTTGTTTCACATAATTTTATAGACAAATAAAATAATTAGAATTTCGTTTCGTTTTTAAGTCAAGCAACTGAATTCATCCTAAGTTAAATGCCAACAGGAAATAAAATATAACCAGACTCTATACTTAAAAACCTGTAAGTCCTTTCTCATATATATATACTTTTTATTTTAGAGATTTGGGGTACTAATCAGGGTTAGGTATACAAATGTTCATTATGCAGGTACCCTTGTTGATGAGGTGCCTTTCTCATATTAAAATAAATAAAATGAATTAGTTTATAAAAGAAAATTCCTACCTCCATTATCTTTTAGATGTAGTGCTATCTTGGTATCATCTGGAAGAGAAATTCAAAGTTATTATAACAGAAAAAGATTTTAAAGGAGCATAAATCTCATGACCATTAATTGTGTACTAACTGCCTTAACAGGAACATGACTAGATTTTGATAATTTATTGAGGTAATTTCTAGTGCTAAGAGTAACTCCTAGCTTTATATGAGGTAGTACTAAAATTTCCTACAGGCTATAAGACCAAGACTTCAGTAAAGTCTTACATGATCCTTAAGTTCTGTGAGAAAAACGGTTATAATTATAACTTAAAATATATCTATTCTTAATTTTCTGAAATAATGTATTGTACTTAGATTCTATAGTTATGACTTTATTTACTCATTAAAAAAAATCAAAGCCAAGAAAATTCCAAATTAGTTGGAATCGTCAGGATTTGTTAGTATTTATAAATCTAACTCCAAAAGTTGCATGCTTATTCATTACTAACAAATATGACCAAAATCGTATATGAAGAGATCCTATCCTGAATGACAAAAGGTTCATGTTTTATTTTGGATGGTCGTATTTCATCCTAAAGGGTAGGGCTTAAGTTACAAAAATATTTTCACAGGCTTTAATAGAACAATCCAAAATAATATGAATTAAAATACAACATTACTTTTAAAAGCAATAAAATGCATTTAACAGCTGCCTTCCACCTAACTTTATTCCAGTTAACTTTACAGTATTCAATTAAGTTCCAATTAAAAGTAAAAGTTCCAAGTTTAGCCTCTTATTCAGACGAAAACAAAGCTTACAACAATATAAAGGTAAGACCATTTCCCCTCTCAAAGCTAACTCTTGGCTAACTAGTATCATATTTCTTCCTACTCCTTCCTAGTGGTACTATTCAGAATAGAAAGTTATTAAATGTTGGTAATACACTTTCTTCCCACCTTGAGTCGTGCTTATGTATTAACACTCTCTAGTGTTTTTGCTTTCGGTAGAAGAAGAAATATTTTTCAAGGGCAATTTCTATGACATATACAGTGCCCTTGTGCAGGTTATAGACCAACATATTTTATTAACTGCATCCAGGAAAATATTAGAATTGTATCTGAGTAAAATTATCTATTGTTCAGAATCCAAAGTCAATGACATTTTATATGCATTTTGCCTTTCTCTCCTGTGCCTGCAATATTGAATTTGGTTATTACAAAACTTAGCCACATGAAAGAAGTCTGTATTTCTTTTCTAAGGAGAAGGGAACAAGAAACCATAGTCAATGGAAAAGTTGCATCTTAATAAAAGAAACAGTCCATTAAAATAATCTCAGCACATACTTTTAGTACATAATAATTATCTTTTTTCCCCTTTAGAAATCCATTTTGTCCAAGAATAACTTTCTCCCTAGAGAGTAGGAGCTAATCCACTATATGCCAACACAGTGAATTTTCCCTCCTGCAGGAAAAAAGCGAAATATCTCTCAGGCACCTTCTGTGGGGAGGCTGGTGGGCAGCTGGGATGTCGCAGCTCTTCTGGTGGTCGTCAAGACCCTGAATTGTGTGGTAGTCGCTCTTACGGTTGTGGTGGTTTGAGATGTTTCTGCTGGTTCTGTGTTCTCACACATCTTCTCTTTTGACTGGTAGGAGAAACAAAAAGGAAACTAACTGAATATTCATATATATATTACATCAAAGAAGTTGGACAGTAAATCACAAAATCTCTCAAATCAAAACAAGGAATAAATTACATTTGTATAAGACTTTATTTCCAGATTTTACTCATTTATAAAGTTTGTAAAATAGGAGAGAGAAATAATGGATTTAACAATGCATTTCCATCCTTAGACACTTGGAGTTCATCATTTATTGCTATTAAACATTCATATCACTGTTAGCTTGCCCTGCATTTTCTAATGATTTATTTATGAAAGACACACTATCAAAAGAAAAAGTTCATACTAGAAGAAAGACTTGTGCATAAAGATAAGGTTTAAAACCTGGCTATGTCGGCAAAGAAAGAGTGTATTCTTTTCATATCAAACTGAAAATGTTAAATCCTAAACATTCACTAATTGCCCCATATTACTTTGTTGTTTCAAAACTAATCTGTCACAGGTTGAATGAATATTTAAAAATTTGTTTGATTTGATGAAATATTCAAAACCACACAAGCAAAGATTTTAAAAAACTCATGTAATCACGTAGTCTGTCTTCTCCTTAGCAGAGCTAAATTGAAAACACCAGAAAAAAGAACATTCTGAATTTTCTATTTGTAGCTTATGAAAATAAATCCCATGACCTTCATTAGTAATAATCTCCAACATCCAAACTTTTATAGTTTAGAATTTTGTGTTTCAATTCACTTTTTTGTGATTCAAAAGACTCCTTCTCTCTGGTAGACCTTGAGTAGAAAATAAGTGTTCTGCACACGGCTGGTACTCATTACATATTTGAAAATTATTATTAAATAAATTATTTTCTTAAATGTTCACCTAAAGTAGTGAAATGCAATAAACCTTTTCACTGGTTAATGAAGATTTCCTGAGACAGCCTCCTTTTCATTAATTGGAGATGATACACATTTATTTTTTACTTCAAGTCCAAGCAGACTAGGAGCCCATTTAACCTCCCAAATTTCAGTACCTGCATCTTCTCAGTCCCAATGATCTAATAATCTCCTTTAAGACTGTGCTTCAGCTAGTCACTCTCACACTCTGGACTGTATCTATGGTTCAAGATATTTTTGGTCTGAAGTAATAAAATCATCCTATTTCGGTCTATCTGTGTACCTGTGAACTCCAATTCCTATCCTTTGACTACTTAGAAAACCCAACACAATGATTTTCTTTCTTTACTTTCCTTTTTTCCACCACTCCAACCTCTTTTTCAATAGCTTTAAGCATCTTCTATTGTTTTTCCACTTTTTCAGAAAATCCCCAGTGTCATACAGTGAAAAAAATCTGTTTTCCCTGCCTTCTCTAAAGCCAGGTTCAGTTCCTGGAATCTCCACAAACTTCTCTCAGCATCCTCAGCTGAGCCATCCATGCTGCTTGGCAATAATGGTCTCTTTGCTAATCACCTCTTCCATTATCCTCAGTATCAGTTCCAAATACTCTCCACTCTACTTAAAATTACAGACCCAGAATGATTCTATCCATTTCACCCCATGAGCTAATAAAAGAGACATCATCAGCAAGAGCTATTTAAATTTCTTTACAAATTAGCATTCTGACTTGACCCTGTGCTGATGTAATCTTCTTTTCTTCTGTGACAATGGGTGGGGATCATTCTTAGTAGGCGGCTCAACTCAGCCTACTTTCTCAGGTGTTGCGAATTTGCTCATCTGATCATGTCCTTTTGCTTCAATATCTTCCATCTCTTAATTCCTTGTTGACTTATTAACATAAGCACTTAACTTATTCAAACAAGTCCAATCTCATTTTGCAAACTCAGACTTCCCTTTTCTCCCCAGTGTACTAATCATACCTCTGGAGAGATTGGTTTACCCTGGTCTTCTCAGATTCTCAGCTTCCACAATTAGGACTATCTTGTTCTTTACATAATACAATCTAGTTGAAATATCTCATACCTGTGTTTCTATATATCCCCTCAGTTACTAAATTGTTCATGGTGTACTATTGATAACTCATTAGCATTTGGCACAGATCCACTCTCTTATCTTTGTTTCTGTGACACTCTCCTCAATGTTATGACAACTCTCTAACAACTCTTTATTTTCTTTTATTTGTGTCTATTTCTTAAATGTTGGTGATTCTTATGGACTTTTCTTGACCTATCATTTCACCCTATGTATTCTCATCAGCAATCTCTACCACACCTATGACTTCAATGAACATATTTATGTTGTTTATTTGTAAATCCATATCTTTAGTCCATATTTCTTTTTTGAATTTCAGGCCAAAATAGTCATCTACTGAATGGGTATGTGCATGTGAATTTCACAGACATCTCAAACTCAAGTCTAGAATGGAACTTGCCATATTCTTTCTTGTGTTTCTATTCTCAATGAACTGAACTATCAAACATCCTATTGTTTAAGGTTAAATCTCAAACTCATTTTGCTGACAGCAGTAAAGGCGGGCTAAGATACTAAATGCCCCTTCCAATACAAAACAAGCAAATTCCAGATCAAACATGAATTTTATAACATTACTAGAATTTGCAGAAAGTAAAGGAAATCTCCAATGGTGACTTTTCATTGTCTCTCCCCCCTCATCCCCACCAAAAAATAAAATAAAAGACAGCAAAAGTTGTGTGCTATAAAAAGCATAGAAAAAGCTCATTTAAGCAAAGTAAAAAGGCAGGATTTGTCCGGAGGGGGACATAATTGATACTACTTCAAGAAGAACAAGTTTGCACCAGCAGTAGATGAGGGAGAGACACCTACACCTCTCCTCCACACATTAAAGCAGGTACCTATGGTAATCCTATAACCCTAAGGGTTTTGACATCAAACGTTCTTTGGTGCAAAGCATCGCCTATTTAGGTCATGGGGATTACTATAGAATAAGATCAGACAAATATGAACTTTTAATTAAGCAATAAAAAAAAGCAGTCTGACAAAAAGTCAGCAAAAACAATAAACAACATATTTAGATTTCCAGACTTTAGATATTGGGATCATTCATATGGAATATATAAAAATCATATATGGACTATTTAAATAAATATCAGGCAAAATTTTTACATGAATTGTTTGTGTAAGACTTGGTGATTTAATAAAGTGTCACATTAGAATATTAGAAATGAAATATATTTTAGGTGGTGAGTTTAGATTTTAGTAATTAGTAAATTTTAGTAATTTTAGATTAAATAAAGATTAAATGAGATGAATGAAGAATTATTAAACTGGTAAATGTATCTGAAGAAATTCCTTGGAATACAGCACAGAGAAATAAGAAAACAGATGATATAAAAGAGAGACAATCTTCATGACACCCAGAAGGCGAAAATAGAGATAATGACAAAGTATGGTCAAACAGCACATTTATCAAACTTGACAACCAACCAACTAGAAAACCCACATTTTTCTTGAGCACACAGACCTTTTGTACAAATTTCCCATGTACTACTTCCTGAAAAATTTCCAACGAATTTAAATAATCAATATCATAGAATATCTCCTTGGACAGCAATTCATCTAGTCAATAATTTTAAAAGATAAATTTTAAAAGTCCTCACAATTTGATATTCAATATAAGTCTAATAAAAAAGTTATATGATTTATTGAATGACTGATTACAGATCTTGACAAGGTGAGTCTATAATTTATAAGGACAAAAGTCCTAAAATAGTCAAAGCACTATTTTAGCAAAGAAGAAAAAGTAAGGAGAATTGTCCTATGGATGTAAGATTTCTTAAAAAAACAATAGTAATTAATGCAGTGTGACATTTGCCCAGGTAATGTCAAACAGTTTTGGAATAGGAAAACTCAGAACCTATATATGGAAGAGGTGACTTTGCAAGATATTGCCAAAATAAAGAATTATTCAATAAACTCTGCTTTGGCTTTCCATAAGGGAAAAAAAAAAAACTCACAAATTGAATTCCAATCTTATATAATAACAAAAAAGCAATTTCAAATGGAATAAAGACTTTAAGACAAAAGACAAAGTTTTAAAACATTTAGAAAAAAGATTGTGAAAATAACTTTATACAATTTAATAGGAAAAGTTTTTTAAACAAGATACACATGCACATAAAACTAATCATAAAATAAAAGATTGATAAATTGTATACATTAAATTGAGAATGAGTGTTGCTATGACAATAGAAACCAACATTTGGGAGAAGATAGATAGATACATACCATCTATATACATATATACATATATTTTCATAGCAACACTATGTATATGTGTGTGTGTGTGCATACACACATTTATATGTGTATACACATATATATTGACAAATTAGGTAGAGCAATAAATATTGCTAGGGCAATAAAGCAACAAAAATAACCAAAATATGCAGGGAATAGAAGAAGCAACACTCTTTCTATATAAATACTATGATTGTCTAAACAGAGAATCACCAAGTACTTAATAGATATATATTTTTTTAATTAGTAAGAGAGTTTTGTTAGGTAGTTGTATATAAAATCTATTATGTCTGTTACATGTAATCAACAGAGAAAGAGTATTGAGAATAAAAACAAAAAGATAAATATCCAATATAAAATGGAGAAAATGACATGACCTGCCACGTTACAGAAGAGGAAAGACAGAAGAAGAAACACAGAAGCCATAAAGCATGTGAATATCTATTAAATTTCATTAATGTTTACAGAAATGCAAATTAAGTTTACAACAAGAACCATTTTATACCCACTATATTTGCAGAAATGAAGAAATCGAACAACGCCAATGTTGTCAGGCACATGAAATAATGGGAATTCATCAGTGTGCCAGCACTGTAGTGTACATTGATAAGCTGGAAACAATCTGGCCTTATTTTGCAAAGTTGAACCTAACTCACACTCAGTAATTCCAATTTTAGAAATATTAGAGAAACTTTTGTACATTTGATTCAGGAGACATGCATACAGAACTCTGCAAATAGTCTCCATAAACAAAATACTGAGTGGGGAAAATATAACCATAAGAATGTAGACTCTAGGAAGGCAGGGTTTGGTGCTTTTTGTTTGTCTTCATTTTAAAAAAATTTGGTACTGAATCCCAGTACCAAACAAATAAACAAACAAAACAAAACAAAATACCCAGGACATCGTGAGCACACAACAAATATTTGTTGAGTAAATGAATGGTATTCTATAAACCATAGAATGCATAGCTATGAAAATGAATAAATCACCACCACAGCAGCCAACAAGAATAAAGGTGAAAAATGAAATCTTGAGTGATAAACCCAAAATTCAGAAAATGGTACTTTTATTTATTTTGAACAGGGAGAGGCAGAGATGTGATGGAGCGGAAACAAATACCCAGTTGCATAATCGTTGATAATTCCAGTTTTTAAATTGCATAGTGTGATCATGAGTTTTCAATTTCTTATTGTGCTTCAGAATTACATTAATGCTATAAAAATGCTAAAAATATTTTTTTAAAAAGAAGAAACATTTAAAAACACTTAAATAGTTTTTGCTTGCATTCAAACCAACAACCTGCTGATTTTTCTCCACCAACCATCATTGCCTGGTCCCCACTATCTGGCCACTGATTAAGTCCACATCTCCAATAACTCTGGCCCAAGTCATTGCTACAACCCAGTATTGGCCATTTGCTTTACCATTCATTATTCACCCAAAGCCAGGGTGAGCCTTTTAAAAAGCCATTTGGATATTATCCCTTTGATTGAAACCCTTCAGATAGAGTTTCCTTGCCTCTAGGGTAAAGGACAAATTCCTTCAACTTGCCATTTAGGGACCTGTTTACCTCACCAGTCTCATCTCTTCTCTTCTTTACTTCAGTTACCCTTCACATTTCTCCTTAAATATCACCTCCTCAAACAAAACCTTTTTTTATCCTTCTTAACAATATCATGCGCTGTAGTTATTCTGTCTTTGCCCATGTTATTCCCTGAGTGCAGTCCATCTACCCTGCTGGACACAGTGGTCTATTTACCGCCTGAACATACTTCTGACACGTTTACATTACCAGTACTTAGAACATGCTGGATAATTCTCCAGGTGGCCTAGGAAATACAACACCTTGAGATAAGAAGGAATTGTATGGAACATCCTTGGCTCTGTTCTAACCCCCTTTGGAAACATCTGATGTCTTTAAACACTAACCCGGCAGCTCACATCACTCTGGGGTATAAAACTCAGGCTGGGCTGCTTTCTGAGGTCCCTCAGCTGCAGTGAAAATGGTGTACAGGCAGATGGGACTCTATCCACCCTGGACAGTTTCCTGAGCACTGGCGGATCAGCCACAATGAATCCTAGGCTTCTGCGGTCCTTTGCTGCCCATCTGTAAGTAACACACTTTGTGTATGGATGATCTATCGCACCAGACTCAGACAAGTTGGCAACCAATGTTCAGAGAATCTGCTTCACAAGCACACATAGTAGGTGTTCATATTAGGATGTTTACTTACTGAATACATTTATCTCACAATATCAGGAAGAATATTAAACCCTAGTTTTAGGCAAGGAAAACAGACAGAAGTTGGTGAGCTTGTTTACTTACCTGTAAAAATAAAATAAAATAGAATCACTCACCATAAAGTTAATAGTGTTAATAATTTAATTACAGAATAAAGAGCTAACACTGCTTATTACAGAATAAAAATATAACACTGTATATTACAGAATGCACTAGACTCTGAGCTCCTTGAGAGGAGGGGTGATTTTTCAGCTTTGTACTTTTAGTGGCTAGCACAAGCCTCAGAATATGGAGAATTCTCCACAATTGTACATAGGAAGGCTTACAATATGATAAATTTTTCTCTCCCTCCTATGATTCATAGTGAGCCTACACTGAAGCTAGAAAATTAAAATGTCTGAAATATATCTTCAATCTCTGCACATATACAGATATTCATTTTCCACATATTTTATTGAGGTAACTGTGATTACATAAAAGAAACAATCATCTGAAAACACAACTATGGTTCTATCAATACACAGTTTTTGGAATTGTGTTATTAGGCAAGTGGAGTGAGATAAATGAAATAGTATATATCATTGTAGTTCCCCAAATGAATGACAAAAAGGTGATTAAAGCTGCACTGACAATACTATATTTGAAGTTCACAAATGTTCTTAAGAATGTATTTCTCGAGATTTTTATGACACATCCTCCTAAGAATGAATTTTGAAAAAGCCCTCCTATTGCTTTTTAAAATAAAATTTTGGCATGATTTGCTTTATTACATACAAAAACATGTGTAGCTGTTAATAATTTTATTTTTCAAAATTCATGCCCTCAACTTAATGAAGGGAGAATAAGTACTTTTCTTCATAAAACTTATAGGACACTTTTATATGATCCTGAAATGACAGTGTAAATGCAATTCTCTGCAAAACGTTAAACAGGTTGAAATTGCTTCTGCAACTGTATACACCTGCGTGAATCACTTCACTGCATCCGTGCCTCTATCATGTTTCCCTCAGGTTTAATGTCATACCATTTCTGTAGGTCAGCTATGTTAAACCATTTCTCATATACTATAGCACATCAATTTGCTGTTATCAGTCTTTTCTTCCCTGCCTCATAGCCCTGGTCTTGTTATTTGAGCTACAAAGAGGAACAATGGCTTCCTAGATCTTAGAAAAGTAGCAAGTTTTTAAGAGAACTGCCCTTTGCTCCTACAGATTAAGATCCTGGCTCTACTATTTCCCAGCTTCTCACCAAGCTCTCCAAGTACCCATACTCCATCCTTCCTGACCGTCTCCCCTCACCTCTTTTTCTTCTCTTCTGAGGGTAATAACAGTGCCTGCCTCATAGAATGGATATGAGAATAAATTGAGGTAATACATACAAAAGTAAAGCCAATGTCTGACACATATTAGGAGTTCAATAACTCCTGGCTATTTTTTGTAAGATTAGACACCATTTTCATGAAGTTGTAGTGACTATATATAAGACAGTTCAATTCCAGGAATTCTGTCATACCTCTTCAGGGCATCCACTGTCCACCCAGTCCTGCCGATGGCGATCAAATCCACTGGAACATCTTCAAAGACGACCATATGACAGTTCAGAAAAGAAAGTATAGAGTGCAGAATGGGGGACAGAAATTTAAAGGAAAAGATTGGTGAGTAGTTAATTCTTACATTTCCAGTTTAGCACAACATAAGCATTCTTCTATAGAACTGGTAAATGAAGAAAAAATGACACATCTAGAGTGTTACTAAGTTATCACTCACTTTCTAGGTTTTCACACTATTAGATTACACATGACAATAAATCATTCTGCTAAGGCAGGTTACACTGAAGAGAACACCTAGATTCCTGCACGATGGCGAAACCCATCATTATTCCATGAAGTCGATTTTCCTTTTTCCCATATTTTTTTCTCATCAATAAAACATATGAACACAGACAAAAATTTTGCAGGCATCATTTTTCAAGATTTCAGATTTATTCATTTATTTGTTTAAGACCCACCATTACACTAACTCTTTCTCTACTGTGCAGTAAAGTGTTTAAACAGTTTCGGGGGGGTCTCAAACCCTGTGCATTCCAAGGAAAAACTGGCCCTTGACTGGCTCCTGAGAGATTGCCCGCACACCCCTGGAATATCCTACCTAGTAAAAGTGTGTATCTTGGTCGTGTATTGTGCAGATAATTTATGCTGACAAGTCAATTTCTTGTGAAATCTGATTTTATTCATCTGGTACCCTGGGTTCTGATGTATCAGTTTGGTGTCTGGGGGGAGGTAAAGACTTGGAGATAAGGTTAGTCACAGGAATGTTTCATCCCTATGTGACAGAACATCCATAAAAACCCTGAATGCCAAGACTTGGGTGAGCTTCCCTGGTTAACAATACATGCTGTGTGTTGTCATACATTGTTGCTCGGATAATTAAGTGCTATTGGTATAATTCTTCTGGCAGAGGACAACTGAAAGTTGTACCTGATATCTTCTGAAATTCTACTGGGAGAAATCCCATCCAAAAAACTGGAATTATCTTTTGGAGGGTAGACTCCTTATAATACAGGCTTCCCTTGCTAGGTAAATGATCTAGGAACCCATTGGCACCAGTGTACCATCTAGCATTGTTGTGAGAGATGTGTTCCCAGTTTCAGTAAATTTTTTCTTGGAATTCTTACAAAGTGTTTGCCCATTTCATGACGGGTGATTTACAAGCACACCTGCCCACACTGAGCTGAGGGTTTCAACAGTTTTTGACCAAAAACAGCATGGCTTTCATGTCTCACCCTCCCTATTCACCCAGTTTTGCCCTGAACAACGTTTTTTGCTTCCCTGGATGAAAAAATTCCTCAAAGGGAATCATTTTGCCAATGTAGAAGAGGTAAAACCAAAAACAGCAGAAGTACTAAAAGGCATCAAAATTGACAAGTTCACAAACTTTTGAGCAGTGGAAAAACCACCTCAGTAGCTATATTGCATTAAACGGAGAGACTTGGTAGGTGACTGAAATTTAAACATGTAAGAATAAATACACAATTTTGTATATATGAATTCCGGGTTTTTTAGGGGGTCTCCCTCAACATGTGACTCATATTTGCAGTTGTAATTCCCTTTTCCTGTGGTAGCCTTGATTGTAACAGCTTTTCTGAGTCCTTCCAGTGAATCATTGATTCTAAGTGGGTTCTTGGGAACGCCCGGCAATACTATGACTAGGTAATGTCCGAAAGGTCCATTTAGCAAGCACCAGGTTAATAAGATTTTGTTCACTCATACTCTCTTCCTTGCCTGGAGTATTTTCCATCTTCCCTTACTATTCTCATATAGCCAATCATTTTTCAAAATCCAGAAATTACTACCCAAAGCACAATCTGATAAAGTTTCATTACAGTGGCCCCCCTTTTTCCGTTCAGTTATCCAGGGTCAAATGCCATCTGAAAATAGGTGAGTACAACAGAATAATATATTTTGAGAGAGAAAGAGAAGTCATATTCATATAACTTTTATTACAATATACTGTTATAATTGCTATGTCTTATCATTAGTTATTTTTTAAATTTAAGTATTATTTTATTTTAAAGATGTGAGGTACAATTCAGGGTTAGGTACATAAGTGGTCATTGTGCAGGTAAAAACGCTCGGGTACCCTTATTGATGTTAAGTGCCCCCTCCCTCCCCTGGTAGTGTCCCATTACTGCCAATCTATTTCTTTCTTTTTTATTTTTTTTGAGTTGGAGTCTCAGTCTATCGCCCAGACTGGAGTGCAGTGGCCGCACCCGGCCACCACAGCCTCGACCTGCTGGGCTCTGGCGATCCTTCCGCCTCAGCCTTCCAAGTAGCTGGAACCAATCCATTTCTTATAATATTATGATAAATGTTTGAGGTCTGCTTAAGAGTGGGTACATGTAGTACTCAGATCTCTGTCTCTGTGATAAATCACTAAGTATTATAGTTCTAAACCCATCTGAGTTGCTGCGAAGTCCATCATCTTGTTTTTCTTTATGGCTGTGTAATATCCCATCGTGTATATGTGTCTAGTTATTGTTGTTAATCTCTTATGGTTCCTAATTTATAAGTTAAAGTTTATCATAGGTATGTATGTATGTATGTATGCATAGGAAAAAAATAGTGTATATAGGGTTTGGTACTATACTGGGTTTCAGGTAGCCACTGAGAGACTTAGAATGTATCCCTTTTGAATACTGTAATCACATCTTACTTTATATTTTTTTCCTTTATATAAAATCTCATGTGTTTATGTCTTACCAAACTTAGCTGTGAAAATTGTAAAGTGAGGGTCTTAAATTGATCACTTTATCTCATGAGAGATTCAAAATATTTTTGCCAATCTATTCAAATCAAGGATATGCATTGTCCTTGAATTTTAATATGTACCCATATATCTATATATGATATATAACAATTTATATTAATATGCAAATCTAAATTGATATTTATATATATTTCCAAATATACGGATGCTGTTCAACTTCTGTCTTATATTTTCTTACTGTGCTTACAATGTTACTCTGCAACCTTTTGGGTTTTTTCTTGTTTTGTTATGAGTCCACATGATGGCTTTTTCTAAGAATTCTTGCCAGGGATTATGTACCATGGCATGAACAAGCATAATTTAATTCAAGTGGAATGTGAAAACAACTCTCCTCTCAACAAAAAAGACCATATCTATCACTCTCTCTGGACATGATCCATTGAAGTTCAGCTATTTTATGCCTACCATCTGTGTTGAACAAGTTTAAGCGTGGAAAAAACATCAGTGTGTGATTTGGCATCCTAAGTTTGAGAATCCCCAGTTGGTCAAGACTGTCTCTGGTTATCCAATGAGCTTCTGATGTGTGATATCTATTTAATTCCAGATGAGTTAGATGACTGTTCCTTCTTATTTTTTCCTTTCAAATTTGTTTAAACACCGAAAAATGTACTGACACTCTCTTTTGGAAGACGGAGATATATCCAATTTTCTATAAAAAAAATATTTTTGGGTGCCATCTGACCATAAGTAATTCAATGGAACAAATAATTTTGAAAAGGCAGTTTGTTTTTCACTTTATTCCAGATGTATCCAGAGTTAGTGGGATATAATAACTTTTACTTTATTTTACAACAGTAAAAACATCTTAAATTTGCATGTCAACTGAAATTTTATCTTAGAATAATTAGTCTTTTAAATTGTTAAATTAATCCCAGGGAAAAGTGCAGAAACACTACAGTTCACTTGATTTATTCAATAATCCCCCAATTATGTTGTGTAAAATTTGGTTCTACTGAAAATATAAATCAATTAACTAATTCATTTATTTATTTATTCATGATCAATTTTCTATTATTTGAAATTTACTAAGGGCTAGAGTGGAAAGGACTGAGAATGGCAAAACAAGTAAGATATGATTTGATAAGTTCACACTTTTTGTAGCTTACAAAGTCTTAAGAAATGAATAAAACCGAACCCTGTTTTATTAGCATTTTTTAATAGCCCAGCCATCTAAATGACTTGCAAAATTATTTTAAAAAGAGTGTATGTTGTATAAATAATTTTTATAAAGCTACCTTCATATTATCTAGAATTCTAAATAAACTAGGAATTGCTCTGGAGAACACCTTCCTGTCTCCACTGAGCTGCTGCGTTGCTTTCTTAAAAAAATAATGAAATGACATTAACTATGTGATTTTAAAATATTCTTTAAAAGTGACTCATAAAGAGGTTTTCTTACATTGAAATCACCTAAGAAGCCTGTCAAAATGCAAATTCGTAGGTCTCACTGAGTAAGATTCTCTGGCAATTGAGAGCCAGCAATATCTATTGTAAACAAACACCCTAAAAGGACTCTTACCACGCAGAAACTTGAAAACCACTGACTTCCTGTAGAATATGAGCAGGCCTCTAACCCACTCCTCCAGCTCATTTCATTCTCCTGCTCATGCTCATGCTTCTTTTGCTCCAAGAATAGCAAATTGCTTGCCCTTCCCTGAAGGTGCTATGCTCTTTTGCGACTCTGCCTTTGAACATACTATTAAATATGGCCAGAATGTCCAATTATTAAGCCCTGTTCAATTCAAACTCAATTTTTTCAAGAAACAACTTTGTTTCTTTCCACCTAGCAGTCAGTAACCCTTCCTCAGAGTCATCCCCTTCCCAATACCAAGTGCAAGTGTCTGTTATTCCACCACAGTGGGTTGCTTTCCAGCTTAGTTTACAAGACTTCAGGGAGAACACGATTAAAAAGTGAGGTTCTGAAGTCCAACTGCTTGAGTTAGAATAAAATAGGTATGTGATCTCAAATAAGGTCCTTTTATTTACTTAGAAGTAATTTTATTGCATGCTGACAAATTCTAACTGCATATATTTATGGGTTGCAATGTGGTGTTATGACATAGGTATGCAATATGGAATGATTAAATCAAGCTAAGTAACATATCCATCACCTCAGATATTGATTATTTTTTTGTAGTGAGAGCATTGGAAATTGACTCTGTCAGCATTTTAAACATGCAATATGTTATTAACTGTAAACATCATGCTAGATCTCAAAAAACCTATTCCACCTAACTTTTTTTACCCT